GCCCTTTTAAACAAAAGGGGGGGGATTCTTCCCCCTGGGGGGGGGGGGGGTTTTTGGCCCCCCCAAAATTTGTTTTATTGGCCCCCCTTTTGGGTTCCGGAAAAAAAAAAAAAAGGGTACCTTGTTTGCGGATTTCAGAAAGTAAATGGTTTTTTTTTAAAAGGTGGTTCCCAAGGGAGAAAAACCCACCCCGGAGGGAAAACCCGGGGGGGGGGGGGGGGGTACCAACGCAGCCCTCACGGAGAGATATGCAGGGGGGCCGCTAAGCGGTGGCGTCATCTACCGCCAACGTGTCGAGGTGCGGGTGTCGAGAGTCGAAGCGTCGCGAATAAAAACCCAATGTCTAGGAGATTCGGCCCCAAGCCAAGACCAAACAACAAACAGCTGGGAAAACACGGCAACAAGTCCGTCCCAAGCAGCTGCACAACGAACAGCCTGCAGGGGAGACTGTCACCACGTGGCCGGCTCGCTTCAAGTTCACCGTCGCGATTGGGTTCCCTTGCATCCATACGTGCGAGGCTGTTGGGATCCGTTGACACCAAGCTGTTGAGATTGTGCCGGAACGCTCGTTCCATGGCACGGTCGCTGGTTTCCACATCGGTGCATGCATACCCTACCGAGACCCCGAACGAATCTCTTACCTGCTCCCGAACCTTGTCAATTTCGGCCTTTGCTTCCGCCGGACTCATGAAGTCCGCGTGTGTCCCGACTAGAAGAATGAGCGAGCCGGGAACTCTGCAGTTGTTTCGTGGACACAAAAAATGCGGTAGAAAACGGGCACAGGGGGCGTTGGCGCAGCAACGGTAAGGGGAGAACCGTGCAGCGCAGGCATCGAAATAGGTGAGGCACTTTGGACAGCCCTCTACGACACAGGGACGGGAGACGTTGCTAATATGTGTCGCGGAGAAACTCTCGTCTGAGATATGACAGCTCCTAGGTAGAGGAGACTAAACAGGTAAGGCCGGTACCTACTGCAAGCGGTGGGAAGAGAAACGTGTGATGTTCAGAGTAAGACAATAATGAAGAGAAGGTGATGCCGAGTGTGCGTACGAGGCAATGGTTGGCATTTGAAGAAAGAACATAGTTTCGGTCGGTCTGGAGGGCAACACTTGTATTCTAAATAGTAATAATATTGTTGTTCGGCTCGACGCCGGACACCTCTGTTCGACACGCTATCCAATGGCACCGACAAAAAACCGCCACAACCATCATCAACGACCGCTACCACCAACAATACCATCAATCATCAGTACCATCACCACGTATCAGCAATGACAACAGCAATAAAGATTACGACAGACTCGATCTACAACTCTTGTCCACACTGCTGTGCTACGGTGGGATGACCAAAACGTTCACCTGCTCTGGACGCAGTCGACCCAGAACTGCACTCTCTCGTCTATCTCGTCTCTGTTGACGTGCCGCAGGTCGAACACCACAGTGTACAGGGCACGCCTGTGGGGAGGACGAAAACAGGTCGTAATAGGGTTTAGCCCGACTGCAAAAAAAAAAAAAGCCGTAAAAAGCTGCACGTAACTAAAAAAGAGGGTTTTCGACTGGGGAGTGACGAAAGCGCGCGGAGGATGCATGGAACGAAATATGATTTTGCTTGTCTTCAAATCCCCCTCCAAAAAACACAAACTTAGCACATGAAAAGTCTGATGCTCTGTGTCGGTGTCAACAGTGAAATCTTCCACGTGTGTGTGCTGAAGTTGTACAATTTTTGCTACGTGGGAGGGCATGTATCAGAAGAAAAAAAAAACAAGAAACTAATTTAACACATGAAAGTCTGATGTTCTGTATCGGTGTCAACAGTGAAATCTTCTACGTGTGTTTGCTGGAGTTGTACAATTTTTGCTACGTGGGAGGGCATGCATCCAGGAATATTCACCCTCCCTACAAACCGAGGTAAGCGGGAGGATGAGGCAAATCACGCCGCCCAACAAAACCACCCACCCGGAGAAAAAGAGACCGTGCACGGCATGGAAGTCCTCCGTTCCGCCAAAGTCCCACAGCTTGAGGGTGATATTTCTCGCGTCTCCATCTCCGCCGCCATCACCACCGTATCCCGACAGTTTGGGCGTCGCAACTCCCGCGGCGTTGTCGCTGTTATCCTTACCGCCCTCTTCAGGCCGAACAACCCCCACCCCACCTCCCAAGTGTTTCCGGCCTCGGTGGCCAGAGGTCGGGGTGTACGTGACGGTTTGGATGTCCATTGCGACTTGTTCCGGAGAATCAGGAGTCAGAAGCGACTGAGGGATTGGCGCACGTCGGGGGGGCAGACGCATGCGTGGGTCTTTTTCTTAGGCTTTGATGACTAGCGTCGACCGTGCCTAAAGTTGCCGACAGAATAAAGAAAGACGTCAGTCTATTGGCTGGGAACAAAAAGCGAACACACAGTCATGTAGTTTAACAACTGACGTCTAGAGTAAATGGGATGACGCACACGCACAAACAAGCGCACAAACACTCCGGCCGATGCTGGCGTCGTGGAAAAACAGCGGGGCGGCCTGTGCCCGCCCTCACACTTTCCCTCCAACGCCACCCGATACACACACGTTTACGTTCATTCTTATTCGCCAACAGGAGACCAACAGCCGCACGCTCTCCCCCCTCCGCCGACACACAGCAACACGTGCGCCCCTCTCCGATTTACCTTTTGAGCCAACACAAAGCTTCCGCCTCTCACCTTCCTCCTCTCCCTCGACGCCGACGAACCCCCCATTCCTCCCGTCGTTCCGCCAGCCGCTCCACCGACCCCCCCGCTCCGAGCGGTCGTTGTCTTCGTCCCCGATCCCCTCACCCGGCCAGAGGCCGGAGTGCCAACGCCGTGCGGCGGCGGTTCGGAACGTCCATGCTGGGGCCGGTTCGGCGGCGGGTTTGACGCCGGGAGGGAACGCTGCCGACCCGTGCCTACCACCTGCCAGCCCTCGTCGTCATCGTCGGGCGGCGGCGGCGGCAGCGGCAGCGGCGGCAGCGGCGGTGTCCTAGGGGCAGCGCCGAGCCGTCGGGGCTGTTGCAGGGGCGTGCTGGTGGCCGATAACGACGGCGTGCTCTTGGTAGGGGTCGAAACGATGCTGCCGTCGTTGTTGGTGTGGGGCTTGGTGGACAGCAGCCCCTTGACGACCTCCGACTTGCCGGCGTCTGCGTGCCCGATGAATATGACCTTGACGAGGTTGGGAACCTCCACGTGCACCTCTTCCGCGACCATGTCGTCGTCGTCGTCCCGGTGCTTGCTCTCCACGTCCCGGAAGTACCGCTTCACGCTGTCCAGCCCCCTCGCCGCCACCTCCACGGGGGGCGAAGTCAGGGGGTTGCGACCCACGTCCAGCCTCTTGAGGTGCCGCAGCCCCACCAGGTCCCGCGGGAGACACTCCAGCAGATTGTTGGGCAGCAGCAGCACCTCCAGGGAGGGCATCGCCAGGCAAACCTCCGCCGGCAGCTCGAGGAGGCTGTTGTACCCGAGGTCGAGGTGCTTCAGCGAGGGCAGCGGCGCCCGCGGCGCCCTGATCTCCTCGATCCAGTTGCCCGAGAGCTCGAGTTTCTCTAGGGAGGGGAGGACGAGCGCCATGTTGCCCGGCAGCCCGTGCAGCATGTTTCCGTTCAGCCTGAGCTCGCGGAGCCCCGCGAGGGGGTACACCGGTGCCGTCCGCCGCCCCCCCGCCTCCGACTGATTCCCACCACCCCCTTCGCCGTCCTTCGAAACAGCAGCCCCCACCACGCCGGGGAGCGTCTCGACCATGAGGAGGGAGTCGATCCCTTCCAAGTCGTTCCCGCTTAGATCCATCACCTGGATCGGGGACCAAGACTTGGTCCACGCCAGGGGAGTCTTCGCCCCCGACGCGACGCTGCTGTTGTTGCCCCCGCGCCGGGGATGCAGCAGGCCGTGCTCCCAGGCCTGTGCCGCATCGTCCAGCAGGGCCGCGACGTTCTGGGGGTACCTGCGGGGGGGTCGCAGATTGCGTCATCGATTTGTCGTCTCGTTACATATCACTGTGTGGATAGGAACCGACTTGGTTGTCCTGCGCCAATGTGGTGCTCACTGCGTGGCTTAGACAGGAACCGACATGTTGTCCAGCGTCATTTGTGGTACTCACTACTGTTAGTTGTGGTGCTCTCTACTACTTCTGTTGCTGGTTGAGGTGCCGCGGTGACGAAAAAAACTTGTAGTCCTGCCGAGGTCGTGCTTGGTGGGTTGATTGAGACCACTGCCACGGTTTACCGTTGGCGCCCGTAAACCTTGCTCACAGCAGCCAAAAACAGAGCCAAAAGAACGTACAAAAACAAGAGGATGTCCATTCACCGCACCTCAGCTCCAGACCCGGCAGCAGCACCCGCTTTCCCCCCTTACGAAGGGCCTTGGCCAACGACGTCTGCGCCTTTCGGACCATGCTGTCCAAGGGGCGGTTAGCCTGCACCAATCGACCGCAAGCACGAAATTTGCGCAATCAATAAGTTTATGAGGAGAAAGAGAGCAGGGAGGAGTGACGCAGACCCTGTTCCCCAACCGTAGCTTCCCCGATTGCATGCTTTGTCCAACACGTTGACATAAAAATACGAAAATTCCTACGAAGGTTTCTGGACACCAAAGGCCACAGCGACACAACAGTGCTTCTAGCGACAAACCCCGCCGAGACAGCGTCAAGCCTCCCATTTGCGGCCGCTCACGACCAAGCACGCGCAAGCCTCCTCGCGCAGCAGTGCGACCTATTCTTCTGAGCCCGTGTCGCGAACGGTTCGAATTCTCGGGTCATAGGCTGCCACAGCTACAGCTGTCTGCTGCCTAGGCACATCCGTCGCGCCCGAGAGAAATAGCTCAAAACCTCTTGGCACCCCTACGAAAACTCTCGACCAGTAACAACTCGCCAGTTTCTTGATGCGGCCCAGTATCCCCTCCTCCTCTTGCAGCAACCGGTTCGGGCGCGCTTGCCACGAAGAGCTGTGACCCCCGCCGTCGCCCCCATTACAAAGACTAGCTCTCGCGTCCCAGCTTTCGTCGGATTTCTCTGGAGCGAGAGTCCACTCCCCGCCGCTGGTCTGCCACAGCCCGACAGCCGCCGTCTTCTCGACGTTGCAGCGGTCCTCCTTGTCCTTCATGGCCTTTCTCACCTCCTGGCTGCGCAGCTTGGTCCTATTCTTCCTCACGCTGGCCATGTTCGTCTGAGACGGCGGCTGCTTGGGTACCAAGAGCAAGCTTTGGCTGCGGTTGATTTTTCTCGCGCTCCCTTTGTGGCGAGCGCGGGACGTTTTTCGGCAAAAGGGGGAAGAAAGAGGGGAGACATGCTCGTCTTGTCACGAGTACAACAACGCGGCTTCCATCAAGAACTTTCGCTCCTCGCCGTAGGCAAGGAATGGGAAGCGCTGTACTTTCTGCTTGCCCATGTCGCGTGGCCTTCGTTCGAAACGTTGAATAAATTGTATCAAATGTGCCAGACAAAACTTGACCATGTCACAGCCAAACACATACGGAGACCAGGGTTGTTTTTGTCTATGAAATGTCTCCGTAGAGCAAGAGCAATGCCCAATGGGTGCGGCAAGCCATTTCTCAGCCATTCCCCGAACAAAACGTGTACACACGCACAGAGAGACATATCTCGAACCATGGGTATGAACACCGACGGCCTGCCCCTCTCGATGCCCGCGCCACAGCAAAACAGTGCACACCGACGAACGCAGCTTGGCGGTTCGATCGACGTCCTTCTACGACCTTCTCACCCACCTGCCAGAGCGTCGAAGTCAAGCCCCGCCTTCAGGGGGTCCTTCTTTCCCCCGCTCGCCGAAGCCGACCTGTTAATCTTGTTGCCGCTTCCCTTCTTGCCGCCCCCGCCGTCGCAACCCCCGCCCACGCTGCTTGAAGTGCTGACGCTATCGCCAATCTTCAACAAGCTGCTGCCGCCGCTCTTCCTTCCGTTGCGCCCCCACGACCCCGCCCCACCGCCGGTCCCGCCGTCCCTTCCCGCCAAGCTCCCGCTGCTGCCGCCCCTCCCCAGGCCCTTGTTCTTAGAGCTCTTAGTGCTCCTCGCCTCAACTTTCCGGTAGAGGGCATCTTCTTTGTGGTTAAAGAACCCGTGATCGTGCTCCAGCGATTTTCCCAGCGCAAGGTCTTCCCCTCCGAAGCCGTTCCTGCCCCCGTCCCCCCGCAGCTCCTCTGTGGTGGTCACCCAGCCGCCATGACCCAAGCTGCAGCTGCTGCCCCCTCCCCCGATACATATGGCGCCGCTGCCGTTTCCGCTCGAAAGCCGGCCTCCCCCCGTCGGGATCCCGCCGCCCCTAGCGGAACTCCCGCCCCGCCCCCACCCCGTACAATCACGGTCGTCGGCCATCTCCGGTCCTTCGTCGAGGCCCCCTCCGATCGCCCAGTCGTCGCTATCGTTGCAGCACGCGCGGGGATCTCGCCACGCCTCCCCCCCCCCCCCGCCGCCGCCGCCGCCGCCCCCGTGAGGGCCACGGACCGGGGACGGGCTGAACGCCGGGGAGAATGAAATGATGCCGTCGTTGCCGCCGGCCCCTGTCCGCGGCGAGGGCGCGTAACGGCCGCTTATGTTGCCGCTCGCACCGCCGCCGCTGCCGTCGTCGTCTTTCTTGGTGTTAAAATCCTCTTCGCTGTCGTCCCGGCCTTCGAGCTCGAGATCAGGCTCGAAGCCGACATCGGCGAGGTCGGGGTAGGCCGATTGTGGTTCCGGCTCCTGGACCGCCGGGTGTCTTCTTGGGGAAGGCCCGCCGCCACCACGCTTCTTGGAAAAAAAAAATGGACGAGAAAAGGATGGGAGGGAATTGTTGCTAGCTTCATGCAAGGGTGCAAAGGCCTTTCTTCTCCTGCAGGTAACTTGGGGAACGTCTCTCTGGGGTCTGCGCACGATACACTCAGCGGCGTCCGAAAAAGCGGCTAGATACTCAGGGTTTTCGGCGAGAGTTTAACAGAGAAAGCGATTGTACTTCGACACAGAGTTGAGGGGCGAACTTTCGGCGAGCTTCTGCGAGAGGGAAGCAGGCTACAAGTGAATTAATTCCACACGAAAAATTGAGGGGCGATCGGAGGCCAAAAAACAAAACGCACACCCACTGTGTGTCTTAAGGCCCACGTGGCTGCTCTGGGCATCCGCATCCGCCCAGGCATACCCACCATGGATCCGAAAAAGGGGGAGCAAACAACCAACCAAACGCCTCCGCTCAACCAAAGAAAAATATGAAGAGTATACTTTTTGCGAATGTAGAATGAAACGAAAGACAATCACACACGAAAGCACCAAACAGGCTTGCCTCACCTCGGGGTTGATGGGAATGGGAGCGCTTCTGGAGGTGTAGCTGATGCGCGGGCCTCCTCCGCCACTCCGCCTGCCGCCGTGTGACATTTATTTATTCCTCTCTCGCTGCTGCTGCTGCTGCTGCGTACACGGGGTTGGTCTCGGCGCTGGTGACCACCTCGCCCAACCGCCGGCGCGGCACCCCCTCTCTTGTTCGTGACTGGAGCCGAGCTATGCCGCCACCAGAAGATGTCCCGCGTGAGTCAGCACACAAATCCCCCCCGTAAATTGTCACCGATTATCCCCCCACCAGGGTGAGAGACAGCACACGATTCCCGCCGTCAATTGTCACCGAAAATGGTCAGTGTTAAAACCAAGGCTTCATGCTCTCGTCACTCGTCCTCCTCCGGCCTCCTTTATGGGAGAAAAAAAGCCCGTGTTGGGCGCGCCACTGCTGTTGTATCGCCTCCAGGTTTAGGCTTGTCGGCCTCCGGAGTACGTGCACGTGGTACTCGCGCGTGGTGCTTGGATGTGCTGCCCGCAGGAGGAAGTTCTTGCTCTCCCTGGATTTCTTCGTGCGAAGCGATCCTCCAACGTCTGGCGAGATCAAGACACGATTGGGGCGGCACCGACACCAAAAACGGTTCACATATTACCTTAGGTCAAACATGAACATGGAAAGGTAATTCATGCACGTCGCGACAAACCCAGCGTGTCCGAGACTATGTTTTTGGGTCATAGTGCATGTTTCAGCAGCTGCGTAGCCGCAGCACAGCAATTCGTTGCGTATGTCCGAGACTATGTTTTTGGGTTATGGTGCATGTTTCAGCAGCTGCGTAGCCGCAGCACAGCAATTCGTTGCGCTTGTCGATCGCCTCTGATTTGCCACGCTCTTTTGCAGAAACACCCAAACACGGCACGCTGTCACTGCTTTTACCTACGTACTATGTACACAGGTGGTGACTACAACAGAGTATAGGATACAGAGTACAGGGTTAAAGCAATATATTTTCAATCCTTGACTGAACAAACTGGACTGATTTTTTCTCATGAAGAATAGCAAGATCAAGTTTGTGCGCGGGAGCCGCCTGCTGTAAAGATTCTGTGCCGAAATAGAACAACCATTCCCCATCAGGAGTCCGCTGCTTCATTCCGAACGGGATGCGTTGTGGATGGTCGCTTGACCAAGTACACTGCTTGACAGCTTTGACGAGGAGGGGTCCACACTGACTAGACCGGTCGAGCTGCGATTTTTACTCTTTTTGTCGTTGTTATTCTTTGTAAGAAAATATACGCCGAGGTACATAAACACACAGAAAGACTACCCATTCGTGTGTATACCACACAGCAGTGTTGTTGCTGCTACAACGTGCGCGGGTGATGAACATGATTCTTGTTGGGAATACAAACAAAATACACGCAGGGCTTGCAACGCTCGTCTTCCTCAAAGCGTACGATTCATCCATCAAATTAGTATTTTCTAGCTACTCGAGATCACTGTCAAGTGGCCTGTATCGGAGGCCTTTCATTGTATACATATGGAATTCCTATTTACTACCTGGTAGTTTTTTTTTTTTTCTTAATATGACACAAAGAAACCATCTCTACCATAGAAAAGAGTCTGAGACAGATTAGCAATGGACTCATAGCGTCAGAAAGTACCTGTATGTCTACGATTTCCCAGACAGCATATAGGGACATCTCCCCTGCGGGTAGTTTTTACAAACGAGGGAGGCTGACAGGCACCGGCATGATACCTACTGGTTTGATTGTACATGCCGACACGGCACTTCCCCTCCCCAAGCTTCGCACAACCACAAGTGCCGCCCATGCACATGTTGGTGTGCTGTTGGTGGGAGGGAAACAGTGGGCCAACCCCCAGCCTACTTGTTTTCCGCTATTGTTACAATTGGCGCGCATCGTGTACATGTGCACACACCCGCCGCATGATGTTGAACCTTTCTCCCATTCCACGCAGCCGGCGGTGGCGGGGTGTTACAGCCTTTCCCTCCCGTAATGCGGCAGTTGTGCAAGGCTGTGTGCGCCCGATAGAAAGCAATGGTGACAATCCACGACGATGGCAGGGTAGAGCACCATCCCTACTGTTGGTAGTCTCTTGGCTATCCTTGCGGGCACCTTCCCTGACTCTCATGCGTTGCCACGTTCAAACTGGGGGTTGCTTGTTATACGGTGCTGTGTCCGTGGATGTACTAAATAGTTGCCAAAATGCGCACCATCACCGTTGTCGAAAGAGGATACGGAAGCACGTCTACAACACTATTGGAGCGCAACCGTAAGGATCCCGCAACGGTGCGTGCCAGGCCGACACGCAGAGACGAATAAGGACGCAAGCAGGAGAGGCGGCTTGCCCACCAAACAAGTGTACCAATCGAAACAGCCGCATTATTGACAGCAGTCCATCAACCACAACAACATGCGAGTCAAAGCCAGATCTTGGGGCTTTCTTCAACCCCCGCTGGAATGTCCAGCACGCAAATTCCTCACCTCTTTATTTGGCACCTCTCTCCGTTGCGTTCCACACCCCTACTGTCTCCCCACAAAGGTGTGAACAACAGCCGGAGTCATGTGCTGACCAGCAGCATCTATGTCAGTCGGCGGCACATGCGGCGCAACCTCGTGTGAAACACGGACCCCCAACAAGCACCCCCCCACGTACTATTGCTGTGGCCCCCCTCTCTCGGCCTCACACCCTTTGCGCGGAACATTTGCGACAGCAGTGTATTCAAATTGTGCTCGCTCTCCCACGACACACTCGACGATGTTCCGCTCCTTGTTCGGGACGACCGTTGCCGGCGAGTACGGAGATACTGGCACCACTGGGGGTAGACCGGGGAACCCATCGGGGCAGGAGCAAGCGGCCCGAAAGGGAACACCGAACAAGACCGCACCTGGCGGTGGTTCTTCCTCCGCACAGCAGGATGCTGGCGGCTTCTTCCAGCTCGAGCCCACCCATGCCTCTGCTGGTGAGAGGCCCAAAGAGAGGGAACGGGATTATTTAGGAGCGCTTTGAAGCTCTTGTGATGCTGCTTTGCTTAGGGTGTTGTTGACGATGCTTGCTGAACAGCCGAACCTGTCGTTCGTGATGCATGCCGGACGGAGGCCCGCCATAGAGCAGGGGTTGAATCTCTGCTGTGTGAAGCAGCAGCGAAGCAGCAGCAGCAGCAGCAGCAGCAGCAACAACAGCAGCTAGAACAGACTGCTGCATCGCGTTACAGCGCGTACGTGTGTTGCGCGAGAGTGTGGGAGGCTTCTATCTGGTAAAGGAAATCTCCCCGGTTGTAAGTGCGTATGTTAGGACATGTTGTTCTGTGGTTCCAAACAAACGAGTGTGGGCGGAGAGCGAAAGCGTGACCTGCAACCTTCGCAGGATAGCGTAGACCACCTCGCAGTAGACTTAAGAAGACGATAGCTAGAGGCATGCGACAGTGAAGCGAGAGATGGTCTACACACACATGGAATCCTGAAACTTTTTTTACTCTTTTGAGGAATAATAACGTTCCCAGACGCGAGAAGTACTTGCAGCAGCAGTGTTGGCTTCGGAGGGCACAGCAGGGTGCGTACTCTCTCTTTCCGAACATGAACCCAATTTTGGTCCCACCCAACGCATGCAGCGTTTGGCGCGAAAAAACGCCATGTTTACAACCCCCACAAGCTGCCGCTGGAGCTGTACGTGATGAAAGAAAGAGGTCGTTCTCTGAGCTCGAGGCATCGCGTTTCAGAGACAACTGATTTGTCAACAGTTAAACTCATGCCGATGTCCGCTTTCCCCCGCAGGCCGACCTCATCTCCGCTGCTCTCCTTTGGTGCGTGTCTCTTACGCTTGTTCGTTTCGCGTGTCGCGTTGTTATTAGACGAGTCGCTTTTCGACGACTTGGAAGTTAAACCGCCAGCAGTGGAGCCCAAGCCTTCGCCCATGAAGCCCCCCGCAGACTCGGTAGGTGTCCCTTCGTTGCAAGCGACGCGTGCTTGCGCATGTCTTGAGACAAGAAGCAGCGGTAGTTCCTAAGAGACGCGGGCAAAGTCCGGCTCCGGCGCTGCAAGTGTTTTCCGCGTTCGACACCTACGTTGACTAATGTTTTGTGGTTTGGAGGAATCGTGTTCCAGGTGGGGAGAGGGTGTGTGCTTCTGTGTGTGTCGTCCTCTGCCACCTGGTAGTTATTATTGCTCAGGGTTGGGGTTAGTGTCTCAAGCGTTTGGCGCTACTGCCTACAGTATGTTCATATGTTGATATTTGAGGACTGGTGTTCCAGGTGGTGAGCTGGGCGCAGTATTTGGCTTTCGCGCGTGTGTGCTTCTTTCTGTTTGCGCGGCCATTCGCGAACTGATCATGGTTCTTGCCCATCGTGAAAGTTGCACACCGGCTTCCGTCTCCTAAATCAGGTCCCGGAGAACCAGTTCTCGTAATAGAGAACCAGTTCTGGTATTACATATGATAGCTGCTACCGATATTAATGGTCTGTCGCTTCCTCCCTCCCAATGCACACATTTATCTCGTCTGTTCCAGCAGGAGTCTGCCGCGGGCGTCTTCTCCGCCTTTCAGTTCATGGCAGAGCCCGCCGCGCCTAGCGACAAGGCGGCACCAATCGGAGGCAGCCCACCCTCAGCAGGAGGGGGAGGGCCGGGGATGTCGGCGTTTTCGTTCCTGACCGACGAGTCCCCCGCCGCCGGGAACAGTGTCGAAGGCCAGGACGAAACCGTCAGCATCCCTGCTGGGGATGCTGCCGGGAGAACCACGCCGTCTTCGTTTTCGTTCCTGTCGGAGGGAGGCGGAGGGGGCCCTGCGGCTGAGAGTAGCGTTGCCGCCGAGGCTGCGTCGTCCGTGGTGTTATCGTCCTCTCCGCTGGCAGCGACCGGCAAAGCGGAGTTGCCGGCATCCTCCGACGGCAAGGCAGCGGCAGAATTCGGGGGTGCTGCCGGGCAGACGCCGGGAGACGTCGATCAGCAGCCCGCTGGCTCGTCCGGCCTTGCGAGCGAGGTCTCTTCTCCGTCCGCTTCATCGTCTACGACGGCGCGGGCGGATGGCCTCGCCGCTACCGCCACCGCCACCGCCACCGCCACCGCTGCCCAGGAAGGAGCGGAGAAGAAGCCGGCTGCTGACGATGTGCCCTCATGGAAACCCTCGGCCAGCGTTGTTCGGAAGAAGAGGGCGGTGAGGAGGGTGGGCTATGCTCGGGAGGAGACGCTGGCGTCGTCGTCGATGGCGCCGCCGGTACCGCGGTCACCCACGGCGGGCCGGCAAGCCGGCGGCGGCAATGCTTCGACGGAGGCAGCAGGAGACCAGACCAGCGGCAGCACGCCGTCTGCGACCGCTGGGGGAGGCCTTTCTCGCGGGGGGGGGGGGGACTACGAGGCGCCGTCTGTCCCTATCCCAAGCAGGAAGGTCACAACGTCGCCCATGACCGCTGGTAGGGAAGCGATGGACGACAGCATGGTGGCGGAGGCAGCGGCGATGGCGGCGCTTGCGGCGTCCATGGCGCCATCGGAGATCCAGGGGGCAATGGCGAAGGGGGACTTGAAACAGGTGAATGCCAACCGCTGCGTCCTTCTCATCCGGGGGTTGTCCTTTTTCTTGGCCGCTGGGATAACGATGGTAATGTTTTTTGTGAATCGCCCCCCAGGGCTCTGCGCACGGCACGACATCCTTCAGTACTTGGAAAGACCTTGTACCATTGTACCCCCCCCCCTTTTTTTCAGATCCTGCCTTAGGGCGCGGTGCTTTTGAAAAGAATGGCGTTTTCACACGACGACTGTGGTGTTTTTCGTAACCCCCCCCCCCCCTCGGTGTTTGCCATCGGGATTGGGTTTTCGTCGCTTGGCAACGACGTTGTAAAACAAGCCAATTCACTTCGTGAACTCGGCAACCAGGTTACCGTTTTTTTTTTTTTTACCTCGGGTTTTTTTTTTGGCGGTAACCATAATGGTGGTCGAGTAGATCATGTTGTGCGGGGTCGAGAAACCTCACTCCGCGCAACGGGGGATGATCGTACCACGTTGTGTTAAATGGTCAAGCTTCCTCGAGGCAGTTACACAGTGCTTACAACTGTCTCTGGCAAGTGAAAGCACCAGAAAATAAATTAAGTCATACGTAGCTGTCATCCGTACGCAAGGAAGTAAGCACAAGATGCCGAACACCCTTAGCAGGATGCAGCTCACCCTTCATGCGACTCGCCAAATACCTCACGGCGCTTCGCGCTTGGTGATGTGAGAGCCTGGTCCGGTGAGAACCCGGCGTGCTCCGTCCCGGCTTTGTAGGGATGGGAGGTCAATGGTCAAACGATTACGGCATGCACGACTATGAGTACACCCCCCCCACACCCCCCCCCCCCTCCCCCCCCCCAGGGCTCTTCACACGGCACGGCGTCGTCCAGCACTTCGTCTGCAGCGGGTGGCGGCGCGGCGGCAAGCCTGTCGAATCCCCACCCGACAGCAACGAAGAAGAATCACAGCTTTATGACGAAGGTGAAGAGAGAAGCGAAGTTTTTAGAGAACCCCGACCGTTGCCCCGGGAACCGCAGTAGCAACTCTTTCAGAAAGGCGGAGCACATGACGACATCCTGCCTCATATCACTGTGATAGCAGCAGCAGTACCGAGATGAATAGACAGCTTGACCTTGTTTTTTTTTTTCTTTCAAAGGAAACGTGCCTTTCTGGACCAATGCGCTTGTAGTTTACCTCGCCGGTTTGATCAGTCGACAGAATGGGAGGGACTGCCTGTGCACCGGTGAAAAAGCGAGCTTTTATTGTGATGTCAAGAAGACAACCAATAACAGCAACATTAATAGCGCTTTTGCAGGTGTAAAGCGGGTGTGCGATCACTCTGGCTTCCCGGTAGTATGCAAACGCAAGAGGTAGCGATCACTGCTGTTATCCTTCCTGTCGGCCGGGTGCTCATATAGACGATGTGTCCACGCTCGTGCAGACCCCACCATCTCGCCGGCCTTCCGGCCGCTTCGCGTGCCTCCAACGCCGCTCCTGATCGCCCGCCCGCTAACGCCCTCGTTCTACGCGCACAGTTCAAGGGACTGCTGAGCCAGTCTTCCTCATCCAAGTCCGACAGCTCCCCGCTTTCCCCCCACGCGGCGGCGAGAAAGTCTGCTGCAAACCCGACTGTGGCCACCACACCGCGAAGCTCCCCTAAGGACGCCGCCGCAGCCGCTGCAACCACAAAGGCGGGGGAGGAGGATCAACCACCCTTGCGTTCGGAGCGGGGTGGGGCTGATCCCGATTCCGCCGCCGGGGGGGGGAGTTCCGTTGTTCGTCCGGCGTTTTCTGGTGAAGAGGAGAACGGCGCGGTCCAGGTGATGGAGTTTTTTTTTTTTTGCGTGTTGTACACTCACTTTTGGGTGTGTGGTGGGTGTACGGGGTTCGCTCTCGTCAATTGTGGCGGCTGTGAGCGTTACGCAGAGCCGGGAGAGTGTGGGATAGGGGTGGGTGTTCTTTTTTTCTGGGGCTCGGTATTCATGCCTTGGTATGTATTCTTATTGGTAGGTCTTTCGCCTCGCCGGAGTTGTTTGTTGCCTGTCGATGCGCTGGCGTAGTGTTGATGCGCTGACGTAGTGCTGTCTGCATAGGGAAAACTGCGGCAAGCCCGCAACTCCCGGCACGATCACGCCTCTTTCGGAAACCCAATTCGCGTTGGACATGCAGCCGTGTTACTTTCGAAATGCTTGCCTGCGATGTGGGGTGTGTGAAAGGTAGCAATGATGAATGTTGGTTTTTTCTCGTTGTTGTTGATGATGTTGTTTAGTTTGTTGTTGATAATTGTCATGATGTTGTCGTTTGTTGTTGTTGCTGCTCATGATGGTGCTGTCGTTCGTTGTTGTTGTTTGTTGTTGATACTGGTCATGATGTTGTCGGTAGTTGTTGTTGTTGCTCATGATGATGATGTCGTTTGTTGTCGTCTTTTGGTTGCGGCCCCCCTGCAGGAGATGCGGGCGGAACTGTCAGTCTTGATCGACGCCTTCCAACAAAAGTCGGAATCCTTGAGCAACCGTCTCACCGAGGCAGCCGCGGAGAAGGCGGCCCTAGAGTGCAGCCGGACCTCGCTGAGAAACTCCCACGCCGAGGGCATAAGGTATGCATACCGTCGTGGCTCCAATATAAGTGGGTACCTTGCATGAGGGGGCTCCGATATATGAGCGTCGAAATCGGTTGTCACGGGCTCGACCCGGTATAGCATAGTTGGGTACCCTCTTTTTCCGGTATGGTGGGGGGCTCCGATGTAAGACGGTCTAGGGCCTTTGTCACTCCCTCCTTTTATATCGGGGCCGCGATTGTAGATATGGATGGGGGGCGCAGCAATGGTTTTCATGTTCTCAGGGCATCGGGTACGGGTTGGAACAGCATTAGGTGTTTCATGTTAATGTATCAGGCACACAAACGACGCATTATTGCCGGGAGTTTTTTCCCTCCGCCCCTTTTAGCACGGCTTGTGAAAGTGAGTCGTGTGTGTTCCGCCGTCGATCAACTTCCCTCCAAGCAAAGACGATGGCTGTGTGCTCGTTCCTTGTTCGGTTGGGGGGGGCTCGCGGTTGCTCCCACGCAGGCGGCTGGCGGAGGCGGAGTCTGAGCAGCAGCGATTGGCCGACGAAGAGGACTACGAAAAGGCGGCGGAATTGTCGCTGGAGATCGAGAACCTCAAGGAAGAGTCGGCCTCGGCGGCACGACGTCTCAGGCGAGTTATTCATGCCCGCGGCGACACCGATGAAAGCATGCGGCAAGCCTTACCCCTCACATCTCCCTTGTATCTGATATTGACTACACGGGTGTTTTGTGTGCTGTTGCTGGTTTTGGCGAGAAGCAGGAAAATCCGTCGCTGTGTCGAGAGTGAATTTTTCTGTGTTGTCTTGCGGGTGGTGATAAGAATTCCCTCTTCACTTGGGATCGGTTTTTTAAGAGGGTTTGATGCGTTTTCGCTGTAGTGCCCGGCGAGTTTTGGGAAGTGGTTCGGTGCCGTAGAGGATTGGTGTTGTTTTGCCTGTCGAGGGGTATCCTATGGGTTCCCGCGGTATCGGCCATCTGGTCATTCCTATCGCGTTTTCTTTGTTCTCCAGTGGTGAACAAGTCTCCGCTTTCCTGTTTTGGAGGTGTTTGCGAACCCTGCGGTTGCCCTCATTGCGGCTGCTTGTGTTCTGTTTT